TCAGAGAACACTTAGATACAGATTTTTGGAGAGCTTTTGGTGAGAGAAGAATAGAAGTTCACGGGATTTCGGGAAGAAGAAGGAGGATTCGATCGTGGAGACTACACATCTGCATGAGACTTTCTTTCCTCTCTTTTATCTCTTTCTTTATGAGCTTTTTGTTGTTTTCTATGAACCGTGAGTAGATCCACGGCTATGGGTTAGGGATTCGTATGTGTTTTGGGTATGTTTGAACCCTAACTTGGATTTCGGTTTTGATTTGATTCGGTTCTATTGATTTACATTTTTATTGGATTGATGTTTGCTAACCCCTTGATCAATTATCTTGGATTCTGAACCACATAGAGATATGGGTTTGTTTCGGATCAAAATCAATAGGATAGATCGTATTATTCACATAGAGATATGGCTTAATCGATCTAGGGTTGATGATAGCGTTCTTTATGCACCTAGGGTTAACTTGAATAGATCGAGAGATTGACGAGTTACTCTGTAGGTAGGGAGTTAGTAGACCGAGAGGTGAATTCTCTATCTTTGTTGCTTGATGATTCCCGAATACAAGTCATAATCGTTATTCTCGCATGCTTAGCATATACCCATACACGCGAATACGATCCCGACGCCCGTAGTCATCCTTGTTTGATAGGTCACTCGTTTTTATTTACTTTCTTATATTGCTTACCATTGATTCTACATATTTCCACCATCACTTGCTTGCTTGCTTTGATCTATTTTCAATCTAGATTTGGATTTAGCAACCGGTCCTCGTGTTCGACCCCGTGTTACGACGATCCATATCCTTGCGGTGAGTTGTGAATCGGGTTATAAATTCTAGACTCGGTACACACGTATCAACTGTGCACCGAAGCTTGATTTGAAGCCTCTCCCGAAAGGACTTAGATATGAATATCTTGGACCCAAATCGACATATCCTGTTATCATTAATGCCGATTTGGACTCTTCCCAAGTCGGTCTGTTGTTAGCCATGCTGCGCAAATACAGGAAAGTGATAGGTTACACGATCGGAGACATCAAGGGCATCAGTCCCTCTTTATGCATGCATTGGATTCACCTCGAAGATGCGACGAAAACCTCTATTGAACATCAACGTCGTCTCAATCCGAAGCTCCAAGAGGTTGTCAAGAAAGAGGTCATGAAACTCCTCGATGCAGGTATTATCTTTCCTATCTCCGATAGTTCTTGGGTCAGTGATAACGCAAATCTAGGTGTATAAATAAGCTCAAGTAATAAAAACTTAGATACAGCGAATACCGCAAGGATACGGATCAAATGCAGTACCAGGGTCGAACACAGGGAATAATTACACTAAGAACAAGACTCGACTAAGATTCACATCAGAGAATAGCAGATGAAACAGATGAATACCGAAAATAAAGCAATAAACAAACTAAGTAAATCAAATAACTAAACCACCGTAGCTTCGGGATAACCTTAACGCGCAAGGATTGTTTCTAAGGATGGATAATCTACGAATCGAACTCTAATCGGGGATCTCAAGTTCTAATATCAGATTTGACTCTCTCAAGTCCTAAATCCACTATCCAATAATTTAACCTATCGATCTCTCAACCTAATAGATTAAAATATCAAACGTCTTAACGATCACTATCACAGTTCCTAAACCGATTAACATATCTCTCAATAGTCTTAATCAATTTATTCAATGAATTCTTTCCGAATCTAATTCCAACTCTCGTTGTCAATCAGAATCTAAGATCAATCAATCAACAGGCCAAGAAGATCAAAAGCAATAAACTCAATTCAATTAAACCGCCGAGTATCGATAACGTAGCCTCGGAAAATAAAAACCAAACAAATCCCTACAAGGTTAAATCCCTAGCTACACTGAAACGACTACTCGCAACCCATAACAACAAACGAGTTCAAATCAATAGAAAGAAACATAGAAACAGATAAAGAAGACTCACAGCGATATCTCGACGACGATTCTTCAATCTCTGCTTCCGGAAAACTTCGTCTTGATTCTCTCTCGAGTTCTCTCGCTTCTACTGTGATCTCTCGATGATTTCTGAAGCCCAAGAGAGAGAGAGGAGGAGGAAAGGAGCTCGTGGGAGTAAAGAGGACCGACCTCAGAAGGTCTAGGAGAGTCACCATCGTCGGAGTCGCCGGAAAACGCCATCAAATCCGGCCAAAACTCAGATCCGAATCTGAGCAAGGTGAGTGGTTCGAGTTGCCTCAGTGTTAGCTCATATTATTTTGAACCTCAAACTCCGACGAAGGAATGAAGATCAAAGAATAATGATTTGGATACATATCTATATCATTATGAATCTCGGTTTAAGAACGATATTCCAGAGATTTTTATGCTGACGGGCCGGATGAGTGGTAAATCAGAGGAACAGTGGTTAACTGTACAGGAGTACAACCATCTCGCTACTTATATTTTATTGAATTGCGCAGAACTTCGTCATTACGAGAGGTATGTACACGTACATATGTATACTATAGGTATATACATTCCAATATTTGATCTTATGTCAGCGAAACTGAATATTCAACGTATCAATATATTGCATGATCTTTGAGGAGCATGTTTTAGAAGCTTACCCAAATTTAAGCGGTGAAGCTTTCGACGAATTGAAACAAGAAAACTACGCATCTTGGTTCAAAGACTATGTAAGTGGATATGTATAATAGTATTTAATCATCAATGATTGCTAACCGAATAACAACTTGTTTTGTTGTAGGTTCAATCTTTAAGTAACGAGAGGATTCCGCATTGGGAACGAGATTTATCACAAGGGCCCAACAGAAGAGTGATGTCATGGCCGATCATGTTCACGCGTGGATATACATTTCACACGTATGAACATGGGAAACATCGTAATACGTTCAACTACGGAGTGTGCATCAAGAGTTCAAATTACAGTGATTCATCAGATGATCCGAATTTTTTTGGAGTTTTAGATCAGATCATCCAGATCGAATATCCCAGATTAGTCGGTCTGAAAACAGTGGTCTTTCGATGTCATTGGTTCGATACAACCACGAGACGTGGATCGCGGAAAAACAAAGGGGGAGGAATCGACATCAATCCAACACGAGCATATCCTAAATATGATCCTTTTATTCTCTCGGATCAAAGTGATCAGGTCTGTTTCATTCCTTACCCAAAATATCCTATATCACAACATAAAAGATGCAAAGAAGATCAATGGTCAGCTGTGGTGAAAATCAATCCTCGAAAAATGGTGATCAGTTCATCAACAATAATTGAAGATTCTGAAGATGCGGTGCAAGACCCGAGAGAAAATTCAGTGCGTCCTATTCGACTTGAAGATTTTGAAGATACACTTGTAATTGCGGATGTGGAAGATGAAGATATTGATAATTTTACCCATGTTGAACTCGACGAATTTATTTCTGATCACGATGATACATCATCCGAAAGTGAAAATGATAACGATTCGTTGTAATTTTTATATATTTTTGTAATATGTTGAATATTTTAAAACTTTCGTTTTATTACTTTCGGATTTTTTTTTTACATATTTTTAAAATCACTAACTTCTGTTGATTATTTCAACGGATAACCGTTGAATAACCTGTAGGATGCGACATTAAATTCAGAGGCATGTCAACGGAAATCCGTTGACAATAGCCACGGAATTCCGTTGACACGTCCAATTCCCGAAGTTATCAACGGATATCCGTTGATGTTTCTCCAGATCTGCAATTAAATGCAGCCATATATCAACGGATGTCCGTAGCAAATTTCTACGGAATAGATGTGTCCGTGGATATTTGCAACGAATGGTCGTTGATACGTTCATCCGCCAATCAGAACGTCTTGAAATCCGTGGAAAATATCAACGGAATCCCCGTTGATCACCATATATCAACAGATATCCGTTGATCTCGTCTATAAATCCGCCAGCGCTTTTCTTTTCCCTCATTCCAATCTCAATCTCAAAACAAAAAACGCAAAAAAACTCAGAGGGATTCGCAGAGAGACACAGAAACATGGTATAATTTTTTTTTACATTTTTTGCATTTATTTATATTTTTTAATTTTGAAATTTACAGTTATATTACATATAATGATAATGGTTAACTAATTAAATATATTATTATAGTTTGCTACCAGGTTTCATCGAGGCGGAGGATTATTGGTGGGATCTGCTAGTGCGCCTCCACCCCCACCTCCACCACCATCACAGTTGCCACTTCCTCCTGATGCATCGTCCGTGTTCGACGAGGATACGATGCTCGATGTCGAGGTAACACTGGATGCTTTCGATAGTCGCACCGTTCCCATCATCGATCCTGATCGCGATGATGGATTATGGTATAATTATAATATTTTTATTTATATTTTATTGAATTTACTAACTAATATGTTTATGTTATGTAGGTTTGGAGTTAATGATGATCAGATAAAAAGCACTCTAACTAGAATAATTACAGCTCGTATGCCTCAGCTGTATTATTTTTGGACTGTAGCTCCAGACCACATTCGCCGGCAGTGGTGGCTATCTTTTATTGTAAGTATTAAAATATAATATTAATTCGTTATAATCTAATTATTAGATTAGTTCTAATATGTGTATTTTTTTTTCTAGCAAACTTTTCGGTGGAAAAAATCGATCACCGAAAGAGTTTACAAGGAGTTTAACGTGTTGGGCCAGACGAGAATCAAACTTCTCATGAGCAATGCAAAGCGAAAGTACGACAAAAAGGGGGAGAGACCATTGTGGGCGACAGATGACATCTTCAACGCTCTTTTAGCGC